GGGTGGAAACTAAAAAGAAATGTTAAAACAACACAATGTGTACTTATTTTTTCATCTGACACAACACGTAAAATGTAAAAATTTTATTTTTAAAATTTATTTCGTCATTAAAAATGTTACTTTTACGCAAAATTTATTTCAAATTATTTTGAGATTTGCATTTATTTGGTGTTAAAATATTAACAGAGTATTAGTGTAATCATTTAACATATTCATATCATGTTAAATTGACACAAAAATTTGTGTGGACCGTTTGGGACACATGACATCTGTTAAATTTAACACAAATTTTTCAACTGTGTACTCCTGTAAAATGTATACTAACAAAGTATAACAACTAAAAACTGTATGGTAAAATTTCACAAAAACTCTCGTAAAATTCTCGGAATTGCCCTGTCCCGCGATTACATCATTTTCAGGAAAAATTTTAAGAAAACATTTTTTCCGTGCAAGAGGAGATAACAATATTATAACTTTCTCCAATTACATTCTTTTATTCCGTAACGTTTTCTTTCCTACCAGGAGCAACTGCGACGAGAAGATCGGCGTGATATTGCGGCAGCATTACCAGAGACCGTATTTTCTTCCCGCCACAGCCGAAAGCAAGAAAACTGATTGGATTTTCATGGGCAGCAATGGCTATGGCGCGCCAATGCACGTAAGTTTCCATGGAAAATTGTGTGAGGCTTATTTTATTAGATGACAGTCGTATAACACCGTTTCACGAAAAACAATATCCGTCGAAATTATTTATCGACATACACAACGTGTCTTGATGAAAGTTTATTAATAATTTTGTATGTTACATTTTTTTACATAAATCTGAAATACGTTTTACATATGTGTACGCACATCAAAATCTCATGTACAGTTGTATATTAATTTAATCTCTTTAGCTTTCTTTACAGTTTTTATTGTAAGTAGTAGAGTAAAGTCCCCTATTATGAGAGAGAGCTAAATTAATAGGCATCATCTATTGGTTCCACCATGAATTTATTGTCCTTGGAGTGAAATCTGTTTAGCGGAAAATTCATTGTTAGGTCGTGTAATCGTTGCGAGAAAGAATTTGCGATTGCATTTGGACGTTGAAAATGTATAATCTCATAACAGAGGCCTCTCCTCTATTTGTAGTTGTATGTAAATATATTTAACGCTTAAATATGCGCTCGTGTGCGTGCTTAAGTGTACAGATGGCAGTCATTAATCGTATATTTCGAGAATACGAAATTTTTCAAGGTGGACGATGTGGACTATCCCTCCTGGCAGGCGCAGATAAAAGGTGAAAAATTGTGGATTTTAGAGCCGCCGAGGGAGTGCCACTACACGTGCAAGAGGCTGGAAGTGATTGTGCATACCGGGGAGATAAGTGAGTGCCATTCGATATATGCCAATAAATAATGATCGAATTAATTGCAAAATTAATTGCTTTCCCCGTTTAGCGCTAAATGTGGCTTTCTGATCGACAGTCGCATTCAATGTTGTCCCGAATTGAGAATTGCTCGGTCACATTTAACGCTAAAATGCGGGACATGCGGATACCCCGTTTATATCCTTGGATTGGGGCAAGAGATTAGTTTCGTTTAACGGCACTTTAGACAAAATTAGTCAATCTCTTTCTCTCTCGAAAATAAAGTAAACGAAAGTTTAAAAGGGATATTGAAGATAATTGCGACCGCGCTTATAAACTTACTTTTGTCACAAGCTGTATTGCGGGTTTCTTTTCTTGCATCATTCTGATGACATTGTGATTTTCAATTACAGTCGTCTTGGATACGAATCGATGGTATCACCAAACGAAAATCATTTCCGATGATATAAGCATTACCATCGGGGCTGAATACGATTGAAGTGAGTAAACCTCGGGAGCTAAATTAATTATATGACAGATTCAGTTTTAACAAGAACAACTGACAGAGAATTTATTGTAAGTATCAGTTCCTATGTGCAAATGTGCCGTTATAATAAGAATAAAATACGCTACGTATTTAATGCATTTCATCATTTCGCAGATCAAGAAAGCAATATTGTGCGTTAACATTGGTTGATTTATTCCACCTTGACATGCTAATTCACCCTTCAATCTCCGTGTGAAATATTTAAGACATAAATGAAATAAATCCTCGCATGTAAAAGTACACATGAAAGCAGGAAATAATAAAATATGAAATATATTACGAAAGGCGCGGAAAGGAGGATCTTCAATATTTTAATGTCGTTATTAAAACACTTGATAGCTTAAGAAAAAGCTGGACAATTTTACTTAAACTCCGGGAGTATGTCGCTTGTGTTAATCGTGTCACCGTTAATTCATCTCCCTCGTTAGATTTGTGAAATATTTCAGTTATTTAAAACGAATCGAGTTTTATTTGAGAAAGTTTTCATTTTCGTTAAGTACATTAGAGATATTTTGAAGATACTGCTTGTTTCGTAAGAGAAAAACCAATCAATTTCTAAAGTTACGCTCTGAAAGCTAAGCGGGCTCTTCATTCAAGCCGGCTCTCTATCGTCTTATTGTGTTTCGTTACTTATACTCGCTGCGTTCAGCTCGAGCGAAACAGAATTCGGCTTGACCGAGGTAACCCTACGCTCGGTTAGCCGCCGCCACGCTCGTTTCCCCGTGACGTATGTCCACGAACGTGGTCGCGTGCTAAGTTTTACGGTTCTCCGTGTACGTGTGTGCGTGTGTTAATCACGCGCTCGCACGAGGAAGGTAAAGAGGAAACGGCCCCCGCGCACGGCACGGGCCCCTCTTGCAGATGGCGAGTAAGCCGGGAGTCACACCTGGCGGCAGGTGAGCCCCTACCGTGGGGGCTGCCTCCATTACGGGCGGGAAGGGGGGATTCGAAGGGGATTCCCTGCCGTTTGACTACCCTGTCGGTGCCCTAAACGTGACTCGGCCTCCGTCGTCTCTCATATATGCGATCATATGTTGGCCACTGCCTGGCGTTGTTAAAGGAAACGAGAGAGACGGAAGAGGTAGGAGAGAGCGAGAGAGGCGCAAGAGGAAAAAGAGCGAAAGGGACAGAAGAAACTGATCAACTGTTTCGCCGGGCCGAGAACTTACAGGACGATTGAACGAAACTACTGAAAATTTCCACGCACATACATACGGGAGTAGGAAAGTTACTTTTCAAAAGTAACTAGTTACCATTACTCGTCATCGAGTAAAAAATGTAACTCGTTACCATTGCAGTTACTAATTTTCAGAAGTAACTCGTTATCGTTACCGTAACTTAAAACATAACGATTCGTTACTTTTTTCATTACTTGTTTAATTCTGAAACGAGATCCTACAAACTAAAACATCTACTTCTGTAATAGGTTTTTTACTAACAAGGACATTAATAAAACAATCTTTTATTTTAAAGTTGTAAAACCATGAAAACTTTAAGGAGGTAAATTTTACAGCGCTCAAGATGTAAATTAAAAAATTAGGATTTCTATGAAAAATACAAATATAGCTCAAGTTTTTTTTATTGTACTCTCAATTCTTCGTTGAAATTTTTAACGCGCAATAATTTTAAATATAGCAACCCATGATAATAATAGATTATGAATATCGATCGATGCCTGAAGATTAAATGTATAAGAAAATATAATTATATTTTATAACTAGGTTCGAAGTATAAAAAGTAACTGTTAAATTCGTTACAGTTACTAAAAAAAAGTAACTAAGTACGTTACAGTTACAAAAGAAAAAAAGTAACATCGTTACCAATCCGAGGCCAAAAAAAGTAACTTGTAACGGTAACAGGAACGCATAAGAAGACTCGCACAAAGAAGATTCATTACATTTAATTGTATGACTTGAGTTTATACGGTTTTCTGTAACGATTATCAATAAGGAAAGAAAATGTGTGTATAATACAAATCGAAGAATTCTCCTTAATTTAATTTAATAATATTAATTGAGTATATCTTAATTTTTTTTATGTTGTCATATATCGAGTGTTTTCCTATTATAACGTGTTAAACACAGTAGTGAATGATATATCGCATTTAACGCTTACGTTAATTAAAATTAAAATTAATTAAAATTAATCTATAGTAATTAATAGATGTTATCTTTATTAATTTACACTGATGTAAAAATGACATGGCATATTTAATTTTTACAAATTGAGACTAATGCTATTCGAAGAAACTTACTTTTAGGAATACACGTTATTAAAGGTAGTACAGGATGATTAAATAAAATAAGATTAAATTAGAACATAGATGGACGTGAAAAATTGATACGAATTAAACTAGACGATTTTATTAATAACAATGATTGACTGTTAATAAACTCACATAAATTCTATCGGATTATGACGAAATGTCCCCTTGGGACGTAAATCACACTCGCACAAAGAAGATTCATTACATTTAATTGCATGACTTGGGCTACGTTTTTCTGTGACGATTATTATTGAGAAAAGAAAATATGTGTATAATACAAATCCAAGAATTCTCCTTAATCACCTTAGAATTGATAATCTTCCTATCCTTCTTGCCTTTCGGATTGCGCGTTTACAATTAATTACTACATTCACTTGACTATTGCTCTACATTGGTACGCGCCGAAAAATAAAGTCGAATTTACAGAATTATTCATAAAATGTACTATTTCCAATTAATCCACTTGACGAAATAAATCAGATCCGAATAAATTTTCAACGAGGCAAATTAAAGAACAAGTCGGGTAAAATTTTCTTTAATCACTCAACACGTGTAATTCCTCTCCAGAAAAGTCATTATTTCGTTTTCTTTCATCCTGATGAAACTGTTTATGCTTACGCAGCTCGAAAATTATTATTGAAGACTCTGAAAATTTTAGAGAGAGAGAGAGAGAGAGAGAGAGAGAGAGAGAGAGAGAGAGAGAGAGAGAGAATGCGGTGGGACGGAGGGAGGACTTTGACGTCTCTCTGATGTATCGACGCCCATGTACTACATGTATACACGCTGCTCCAGTTACGCCAATGAGTACGCCTGTATGTCGTTTGTGTTAATTACACGGAATAGCATATCTCCACTTTCATGTCTGATCTGACGTCCATGATCTATAAATGTTTGTAGCAATCGCTAATAAGTAATATCGGCCAAAGAGGAGATCCGCGAAACTCAAATATAGGCGCGTGGAAATTATCCGATACAGGTATCTGCGCGAAAATTATTCGATTACGCGAGACGGCAGGTCTCCCAGCGCCAAATCCCGCCGATATTTTAATAATTTATTCAGCATTTTTATACTTAATTCATCCCCGATATCTCAGCGCGATTGCCATAATTATACGATCGAATTACCGTAATGACTTTCCTCTAAACGTAGCAAGATGGAATATGAGGAGCGGTATATTTCAACATTTCTATAATCAGGCACACATGCCGTCGATTCTTTTTGCGCTGCGCGAAACTCCGGAGACGTATAATTCCCTCTTTCTACCCGGTTGCACGGCTTCACGTGATCCGCCGGGCTTTTTATTTTAATAAAATGACGGGATATTTAATTATACGACCACTTTGTTGCACTACTTTTGTCGTTGGCAATCATCGTCTCCATCGTCCAACCGAGTCCGTGGAGTCCCATAATGCGAGCGTAATACTATGCGCCGAGCGAGTGATGAAATAATTATAGATATCGATTTCCATAAAGAAAGTGTACGGCTCGGCGGCGACGAGGGAAACGCGAGGACGCATCATCTGCGTCCCGCGCGTTTGGCGGGTTAACATTGGTGTAAAAAAAAAAAACACGAGAGAAGAAAGAGGGAAGGAGAAAAAAGGAGTTGCACCGTCAAGCGGCACGTCAATCGTTTTATTGCGGCGTCGCGCGAAATTCGTGTGAAAATGATGAGAAGGCGGGGACAGAGCCGGGCCACGAATCGTCGCGTATTATCGCGATATCGGGGGGAGAAGGCCGCGGGCTCTCTTTCGATTTAATTGCATTCCGCGGGAACGGCGGGCGAAAAGCCGATACATCGGGACCTCGTTAATTTCGCAAAAATCATCCGGCCCCACGGAGATCTTTTTGCGCGGATCGAATTTCGCGCAATCGCCTCGCCCGACGATCGATTAGGAGAGCTTTTTGCACTCGCGCGGACTCGGGCCGAGGATTCTCCGTGTGGCAAAAATTCGGGCGGTCGCGCCGCCGTGGCTTTCCCTCGGCTCCTGGGCGTGTGAATTCGACGTTGATGCGCATTTAAATTTCGCGATGTATAAATTTTTTAACGTGCCATACTAATCGGAATCCGCCGATCTCGCGTCGACTTATTTCTGTTTTTCGCGTGAATCGGGGGAGGGAGGGGGGGGGGAGAGGAATACGGACGACGCGGTTCTTTCACGGAACGCGCGGATTTATTTCAGGTATTTCAGGGAAATTGCGAGAATATCGTAAAATGGAAAAGTGGGTCGGCAACATTAAAAGGAGCGCGCTATTATTTATGAACGGAGATTTCGCGATGGAGGCGGCTATATTTAGCCCGGGCGAATTTACACCCTTACAACGCTTCGCTCCCGTTTGATGTCTCCATTTTCGTAAGCGGCCGCCGCTCGCGCGCTGGCGCCGCGCTGAACCTCCCGGCGTGTGTATTAAATAAATACAGGCGGCCGCGGGGGTAACCGCGCGAGTAACTAGAAGAAGTTTCTCGCAAATCGAGCCCCCCCCCCGTTCAAGTTCCGCCGTTCAAACCGCGCCGCGGCGTGCGCCCCGCGAGTTCCGCCGCGAGGATCGAAGAACGGGTTTAAATCCCCATGGCGAGGGTCCCTCTCTTTCTCTCTCGCGCGGTTAACAACAACGGCAACGATTGCGCGGGGAAAGTCGATGTCGTCGTCGAAGCCCGCGTAACGCCGCGTATCCGCCTGCCCCCATCGATCTCACGCGCGTGAATTCGTGCGACACGCGCTGCGCCTGCGTGCCGCGTGCGCGCGCACACACACACGCGCGCGTGGGCGCATCCGCGCACGCACACACGCGGGGACGGGCGTGAACGTGCAGGGGGTTGGTCGCGCGTGCACGTGTGCGGGGCGCGTTATATACAGGCCGGGCACATACATATCGGTCGCCGTTATCGATTATTTTACCCATGTGGAACTCTCGTCCCCCCCCCGCCCTCATCCCCTTCGGTCCCCGCGCCCCGCGCCCCGTGCGAGCGCCCCCACTCGCGGCGTCGCGACGCCTCGTATAGAGCGCGATATCGACGTTACATCGCTGCTCTCGCCCCTCCGCCCCTCCGCGCGGCCTCAGCGACGAGTCCCCACTCCCGACGGTCGAGAAACTACCCCCCAGGACCGTAAAATTCTGGCACTCGCGAGCCCTAATACACTCCCGGCGAGCCCGCGAAAAAATTTACCGGCGCGGAGGAGCGAGAGGGGAAGATTCGCGTTTCGAAAAGGTGGGCTCTCTCGTTTTCGAAATTTTC